TATTACATCTGCAATCTGAATGCCATCACGAAAGTGAACATTTCAAAATTCCTCTGAGGTCATTACAAGATCGTGATGCAATGGTCTGCAACTCTGTCAACCGAAAAGTGGACGACGGGCGGAGGGAGGCATGAAACAGGAAAACCACCAAAACTCAACCCCCACCCCCACAACGTCAAAACGTAAATACGACCCCTACCCCTCCATGAAGCGAAAAAAATCAACTATCAAAATAAATTTTTCCCAACCCAAATACGAACCCCCTCTTCTGGCGGCCGAATACGACCCTCCCACTTATTGGGGATTCCCCAACAACGATGTGCCCTGACACGTCCTCCATTGGTTCCTCGAACAACAAGCGCATCCAATATTAACGAATGAGTTTCTAGAATAAAATTGATGATATCTCCCAAAATATGAGGCTGCGTTTATACTTTGCGGCAGCGTAGCGTAGCGCTTCCAGCGTACGCCAGCGGCAGTGCCGGGGAGAGGATGCATATCGATCTAGCGTTCCCAGCGTCACCAGCCAGCGTTTCTCCAGCGTTTCACCAGCGTTTTGCTAGCGTTTGCAGCGGAGAGTAGAGACTATGGGAGAGCTGGAGGGTACAAAACACATCGATTGCGCGTCTCTCACTCGCCCTCAGTCTCTACAATACACATCGATTCCGCGTCTCTGACGGCCACATAGTCTCTACAATACACATCGATTGCGCGTCTCTTACGGCCACATAGTCTCTACTCCCCTGCCGCTGCAAACGCCAGCAAAACGCTGGTGAAACGCTGGAGAAACGCTGGCGTACGCTAGCGTTACGCTGGTGACGCTGGGAACGCTAGATCGATATCCATCCTCTCCCCGGCACTGCCGCTGGCGTACGCTGGAAGCGCTACGCTGCCGCAAAGTATAAACGCAGCCTGACAGGTTCCAAAGCACGCGAACGCCTGGTCACTACCACTATCGCTCAAAAAGACATACAGAACGAAGATAGAAAAAGAAGTAGACACAATGGAATGGCCTTATACATCACTCAATAGCATTTTCTTTCTGAGTTCAATCGTGTAGATCTGAAGTATACTCTTTATCCCTGAGACGGGGTAGGCGTGGCATTCGAACATGGCACGGAACTGGTTACTCGTGGGATATTTAAATTTCAGACAACCGCCATCTTGTTCTTTGTTGGAAAAAGACGTGACCACATTTGGGTCAAAATGAAAATGTCTTTCCAAGAGCACAGCCACCACGACGTTTAGTTGAAGTACGCAGCCACGCCTACCTCATCTCAGGGATTTCGAGTGTAGTTCTGCATTTCCTACCAATTTCCATTTTAATGTGAATATGGGTGAAGCATGAGATTTGCTGCTTTCTAATAGCCTTCACCTCGTCCTCTAATATTTATTGCATTGCAGAACCTGTGAAGAGGCAGATGGCAGCGCGCTGCCCATTTCCTGAATGAATCGGCTCCCACCATGCCATTTAAAACTTTATCTCCGAAGAGAGCACTTGGCATAAAATTCGCATGGGAGTGTAAGATCATTGCCTCGTACATCGGCTGGCCCGTGCAACTCTGTGTATAGCCACTTCAAGCCAGTTCAATAATCCGCTACACTTTTGAATAGCAATAAAATGCATACCGCATCCCAAAAAGGGTTGATCAACGGCGAGGTTCACCGTTTATCCTTTTTTTAGAACCTAAGAGAATGTTCTGGCATCAATCTGTACTCAATCGCAGGAAGCCAAGCGATAATAAGTGCTGTTGAAAACTGTGCCTGAGTAGTTGCTAGTACCTAATAGATGGGGATGAAATGCTTCCTCATCCCCATCCATTAGGTGCCCATCTATTAGGTACGTGACATTTCCGGACTTTTTTCGAGTTGAGCTTATTCTGATGAGAAGCAATTTTGACCAGCAATATATATGTTACCTTCCGACCGCTTGTTGCCAGTCACCAAGCAGAGTTATTGCCTCGCTCCCAGAGCTTTTTGGATCCGTGCCGAGAAAGGCGCCTAGGTCGTTTTTAGGTACTTTTACGAATCGTATTTTTTTACCCAGAAGATGGCCGCTGTGGGATTAGTTTAGATGGCGATCGGAAAGAGCTAAGTCAGGGCTACACGAAGACTGTGGTGGAAATTCCCCAGCTAAGCTTTAGGATCTCGAGCAGCTGTGGTGGAGCAAGCAAACATTGCTCGGTTGTGGGACCAAATGGTGGGATTTTCATCCCCCTTTGCAGTTGATTACAATAGGGTTCGCTGGTTACCACAGCGCTGAGAAGAAGAAATTCCGTTATGGGAAGGGAGAAAGAAACCCCACCACATACACAGTCTCACCGCCCTACTGGATTGATAGGATTGCGCGATCGGTTCTGCCCTTCTGGGGATCTAGCCACTGGCGCTTCCGGGAGTGATTCACCTAGAGACACCTACTCCATATCCAGTTACAGCGCTGTTCAACCAGTCCGTAGCGGAAGCGGGAGAGAATTTGTAGACAGTACCCACATGGAGTATAGGTCAACTTACGAGAAAAATCTTGACCAAACTTCCTACTTTTTCTAAGGGAGCGAGACCCTCTGCTTTTGGAACAGTCAAGTGTAAGGACTAGATAGCGAGTTGATTTGTACGAATTGGTTTTAATCAAGGAGCGCAGTAGGTCCAAATCCAGGTGGCAGGTGGCCTCCCTGGACGAGTTTTTCTCCCAGGTAGAAGTCACTTAAGCGAAACGATCGGGCCATTTCAACGCCGTACTGTGGAAGGTACCATCAAGACCTAACTCAGAGAAATGCCGCTTGTGGCTCCAACCACGTTGTGGCTTGGTGGAGATTCATATAGCGAAGTGTGTCGAAAATGATGAATTTCAATTACCGTTTTGGATATGAGAACAGCGACTGCGAGGGACGGTAAAGAAGCTGTGGGATGCTTACTAACACACTTCCCATAGACCACATAACTGGATCTCGAAATGGCTGCGGAAAGATCTGATACGAGAAAAAAAACGGTCACGAACTTTCGGGAACCAAACAGATTTCAAATGGAGGAAAACACGGTTTTGGAACAAAATTTGGCGCCATAAAAAACTATTTGTCTCTACTCAGTTTTTCTGTCAGTGCTTGATCTCTTAATATTTGTGAAACTGAACTTCACGAATATTGTGAGATCGAGTTACCAGCTTATGCTCCGAAACTAATTCTACTGACAATCAGCACGCAACAGCAAAACCTAAAGAATTGACGTCGTACTGGGCCGACAAGGGGTAAATTTTGGAGGAGAAGCTGGTAACCTACTCGGCAAAATTAGGCCTACCATATATCTTCTAGCTCGCCACTTTGAAGCGAATCCAATGCTATAAGCAACACTTCATTCCACTTACAATGACTGGAGAGCCAGTACGTAGGTAGGTGTTCCTAAGGAAAAAGTGGACCGATTCCTGCTTCATTCTTTATGTTCTTCTACAAGAATGCTTGGCTTTGCTGAAAAAATCTTCATATACGCTCGAATGTGTTACCTCGAGATTGCTTACGAGACACAAGTGTTGGTTCCACGATCGGTATGGCATCATCCATTTCGAATGCTCGCAATTCGCGAGATCTGCGGACTAAAAAGTGTGATTTACTTATGGAACTTCAAAGAGGAATGATATTCATAGCAACTTGTGAGAATTGAGCACGCAAGTCTGTCGAGGGCTTGGGAGTTTCCGCCTTGTCAAGATGTTCAGAGAGAAAACGACAGGTTCGTTCTGCTAGGCTCTCTTACCACATCATATCAATGCTTTGGCTGACCTTGAACAGTCCTTTTTCAGATGGGCTCCCCTTCCCCCCTCCCTGTCCCCTCTCCATCCACGAGTAAAGCGAGATGAGTCGTCGTCCCTCGATTTCTAGTGATTCCCAACAGCAGTTTCGTAACGTTAAACTGATGCAGACTTGTGTAAACGTCTTCATCCTCTCGCAGTTTGATTACATCATTGGACGCGTCATCAATTTTTATCCTCCAAGAAACTTTCCTCAAAATCTTTTTTTACAAAGGCTGTTGTCATGAAAGTGAGTGACAAGTGCTGATATCGTTATAAGGCGAACTATCGAACACTGCAGCGCGGCGGCAACGAGACCAAGTAGGAGGACATAAATCGAGGAGTAACTCGGTATGATTGAATATAATTAGCAAAGTACTTCGACTGCACTGAAAGAAAAGAAACTGTCCCAGAAGGAGCGCACTGGTAAGCCGGCAAATTATTTTTACTTTAGGAAAACACTTTGAATTCCTTGCAGACCGGTTCCTTCTTTCAGTCGGGACGGCTAGCGCATAAAACGAACTGTGAAAACTTATGTAGGAGAAACTGCAGTATTTAATCATCAGAATTCATAGCCATCGGTCGCACATACAACTCCAGTTGGATGCATCCTGTCAAAAGTGCAGGGAACGGGCTAGAGGACGGTGATACTCGGATGTCTTTTTCATGCTCCGCCCGCGCTACAGCACAAATCATAGCCACCTCTAATCATATCCAAGCATGCTTATTTGTCTGCGGTCCCTCAGATCTAGGTGTTCTTGACCGGTCAGCGGGCGTTTGCTGCGGGATCTTGGTCGACACAAGTGTTGCACAGTGAGGATAGTTTTCGTAGAGTGGCATGTCACTGCAGCTGCGGACTCCTACATGGGGCATGGAAAAGACCGTTCTCGGAAGTGTGACTAAAGTTTGTCTATAGGAAGAGGGATTATTAAGACACTTAATTCTACACACGAGTAGAGGTAACGTGAGGGTAGCTACGTTGTAATAGCACAAAGACCTAGGTGGGAAGGTGTTTTGAAATTAACAATTCTGCCGCTGAAAAAAGTGCTGAGCACCTCTTTGGGGACTTTTCCGTTCTTGAGCAATGGAATTTTTTGAGCCTATCTGTGTTATTTACAACATCGAGATACCCATAAGGCTCCACTGTTGCAAGACATCGCGACTTCAGGATCACTTTTTTCTGTCCTTATGAGTGCTCTGCACCGAATCAGAAATGCAACTCGGGTTAGGAGACACTCACCGCAATAGAGCTTGCAACAAAATAGACAGCATGTGCGATAATGGCATTGTAGAAACAGGCGATGAACGTGCAGATGAAGCAGATACCGTATCCAATGCCTGAAATATGGGCGTGATCCGTAAGAACAGTCTCCGGAAGGCAGAAAAAAAACCAAGATGTCACCTTTGAAGAGCGGGCACACCTTCCGCCAAATGCTGACACAGCCTGACCGATGAAACTGACCAAGGGCCAACTCCATGTAGAACATTGGCAAGCCTCCCACCAGCAACATCACCAGGTATGGGATTAGGAACGCGCCTTAATTCGAATTTTAATGGGGCTCTTGGTGTTTAAGGGCAGTGGACACAATCGCTGGAGGCGGCAATTTATTGTTAGAGGTCGGTTGTTGCCAGCATCATTGGTGGAGGCGTTGGCGCACAAGCGTTAGGCAGTGTGGCCGAACGCCCTCCTACAACCATCCCACCAATGACGGTAGCAGCAAAATGCAGCCTTCAGCAATCCTACCCACTGCCTTTAAGGGAGGAGCGGAGACAGTTCCATATGGGTGTAAGAGCGGAAATTCGTGTTCGAACCTCCGCCGTGTTTATAGCAAACCGATGGGAATCGCCAAATATTGCCCAGATCGACGGCGTAGCCAATCACCGCCAAAAGAAACTCCATTTTTGTCGCCCAACGGTCGCGCGCGACAGATGAACGGCGTCGCATGGCTGACACCCGTGACTCCACTTTCGGTGAAAGCCCTGAAAGGCAAATCAGTATTTTTCTGGAAGTATGATGTGCAGCAAAATTCTGAAGTTCTTTGAATTTTCACGTTTGAACGGTTCTTATTGACCGTTTCAGTGATTAAAAGGCGCATACGTGAAATCGTCAATACGCTACCATTGTCTTGAAAGGCTAACTGGAATTACCTCCGAGTGGTTCGATGCTGTCCGATTCTCGTACCGCGAGTGTTGCTGGCTTCTCGGGGGGAGCGAGGGGTTGATATTCGGCAGCAGTACCCAGCCCTTTAAAATGTATTTTCAAAACCAAATTTCTCACCTCAGTCAAACGGTATACGTAACTTGCGTTATGTTGCTGCTTTCAGAGATGCAGATTTCCTGTGAAAAACAACTAGCTTAAGAATTTTCGAGAAGCCCCCAAGATCCCGTCTTATGGAAATGCTTGGTGAAGCACAATTTTTTCTGTTTTCGCTCATTTCCAGGGATTTTTCTCAGTTGGAAAAAGCGCTGCTAACAGCTGCGCGAAGGATGAATCACTTCTGCCCGAGTCGACTGAAGGCAGTTGGCAGGATGAATCCCTAAGACGAGCAGGATTAATACGTCTGGCAGGACGGAATTCCGCGACCATGAGCAGGCGCTGCGTAGCGCCTTTTCCAAAGGAGGTGTCTCTATTGGACCCTATCGAACCACAACGTACCGGTCCTCTGAGCCTGCCCGCCCACAAATGGACGACCTTACCTGATGCTCGTATTGCTTCATTTGCGAAGTAAAATATGAAGCGAAGGGATTGATATGAAGCGGCCGCGGTGCTGCATGGATATATGAGTACACACGTGCAGCCGTATCTACTAGCGTTATTGGCAAGATGCCTACGGGAAACTCGTCCAAAATTGCTTTCTGAGTCACGAAGAACGAAGGTTTTCTTCGCGAGTTTTCGACCGTTTCACTTCGTTTTTTCGCCATTTTCCGACTACATAGCGCCCTACTAGGCCCAGTACCAGATTTTCGTGCCGACTGCCTCTAAGAATTTCATCTACCAGAACCACTCCACTCCTATCAGTGTGTTGTGTTGTAAAAAAAATGCAAACCAGAATAACTCTTTGCCCTTCATTTCACTGCTCACTAGAGTCTTCTAAACAGAGACCCAGTGCGTAGGTAGGTGTTCCTAAGGAAAAAGTGGACCGATTCCTGCTTCATTCTTTATGTTCTTCTACAAGAATGCTTGGCTTTGCTGAAAAAAATCTTCATATACGCTCGAATGTGTTACCTCGAGATTGCTTACGAGACACAAGTGTTGGTTCCACGATCGGTATGGCATCATCCATTTCGAATGCTCGCAATTCGCGAGATCTGCGGACTAAAAAGTGTGATTTACTTATGGAACTTCAAAGAGGAATGATATTCATAGCAACTTGTGAGAATTGAGCACACACAAGTCTGTCGAGAGCTTGGGAGTTTCCGTCTTGTCAAGATGTTCAGAGAGAAAACGACAGGTTCTTAGAGCTCTGCAATCACTTTGGTCTCAAGGTTTTCGTGTTCTGCTAGGCTCTCTTATCACATCATATCAATGCTTTGGCTGACCTTGAAAAGTCCTTTTTCAGATGGGCTCCCCTTCCCCCCTCCCTGTCCCCTCTCCATCCACGAGTAAAGCGAGATGAGTCGTCGTCCCTCGATTTCTAGTGATTCCCAACAGCAGTTTCGTAACGTTAAACTGATGCAGACTTGTGTAAACGTCTTCATCCTCTCGCAGTTTGATTACATCATTGGACGCGTCATCAATTTTTATCCTCCAAGAAACTTTCCTCAAAATCTTTTTTTACAAAGGCTGTTGTCATGAAAGTGAGTGACAAGTGCTGATATCGTTATAAGGCGAACTATCGAACACTGCAGCGCGGCGGCAACGAGACCAAGTAGGAGGACATAAATCGAGGAGTAACTCGGTATGATTGAATATAATTAGCAAAGTACTTCGACTGCACTGAAAGAAAAGAAACTGTCCCAGAAGGAGCGCACTGGTAAGCCGGCAAATTATTTTGACTTTAGGAAAACACTTTGAATTCCTTGCAGACCGGTTCCTTCTTTCAGTCGGGACGGCTAGCGCATAAAACGAACTGTGAAAACTTATGTAGGAGAAACTGCAGTATTTAATCATCAGAATTCATAGCCATCGGTCGCACTACAACTCCAGTCATTGTAAGTGAAATGAAGTGTTGCTTATAGCATTGGATTCGCTTCAAAGTGGCGAGCTAGAAGATATATGGTAGGCCTAATTTTGCCGAGTAGGTTACCAGCTTCTCCTCCAAAATTTACCCCTTGTCGGCCCAGTACGACGTCAATTCTTTAGGTTTTGCTGTTGCGTGCTGATTGTCAGTAGAATTAGTTTCGGAGCATAAGCTGGTAACTCGATCTCACAATATTTGTGAAGTTCAGTTTCACAAATATTAAGAGATCAAGCACTGACAGAAAAACTGAGTAGAGACAAATAGTTTTTTATGGCGCCAAATTTTGTTCCAAAACCGTGTTTTCCTCCATTTGAAATCTGTTTGGTTCCCGAAAGTTCGTGACCGTTTTTTTCTCGTATCAGATCTTTCCGCAGCCATTTCGAGATCCAGTTATGTGGTCTATGGGAAGTGTGTTGAGTAAGCATCCCACAGCTTCTTTACCGTCCCTCGCAGTCGCTGTTCTCATATCCAAAACGGTAATTGAAATTCATCATTTTCGACACACTTCGCTATATGAATCTCCACCAAGCCACAACGTGGTTGGAGCCACAAGCGGCATTTCTCTGAGTTAGGCTGATGCTACCTTCCACAGTACGGCTTTAAAATGGCCCGATCGGTCTCGCTCCCTTAGAAAAAGTAGGAAGTTTGGTCAAGATTTTTCTCGTAAGTTGACCTA